ATTAATATGACCAACATACACAACCTCATCATTAATATGACCAACATACACAACCTCATCATTAATATGACCAACATACACAACCTCATCATTAAAACAACCAACGTATCCAACCTGATTGTTAATAAGACCAACATATCCAACCTGATTGTTAATACGACCAACTTACCCAACCTGATTGTTAATACGACCAATGTACCCAACCTGATCGTTAAAAAAAAACAACGTACACAACCTGGTCATTAAAATGACCAACATACCCAACCTGATCTTTATTTAGTCCAACTTTTTTGTTTAGAAGTTTATTCGGTTTGTGTTAAACTGGGTCAGCACTGTTTTCCAAACTTCTCCTCGTCCTTCCTCAGATCGACTTGATGCCTCATGATGTCATCACTCAGCTGCTGCGGGTTCTTGCCATCGAGACCAAGCAGGAGAAGGCCATCATCAACGCTGAGCCGACGGACGTGGCACTCAGTGGGTTGGAGGCTTTCTCCTTCGACTACATCGTCAAGTGGCCGCTGTCACTCATCATCAACAGGTCCGTCAAACTGTGTTCCCTCCTGCCTTTTGCTTCTTTTATCTTTTAGCTACTTTTTATTAGCATTCTCAGATACTACTTTTAACTAATATTTTCCTGTTCTTACCTTTTAGCTAGCATTTCACTTTTTAGCTAGCATTTCACTTATTTTAACTGGAGTTCTAGTACTTTAAGCTTGCCTATTGCTACCTCTGGCTAACCCTTACGTTTTCTTTTAACTTGCTACTTTTACAATTTAGTTAGCATTTTGCTTCATTATATGTTTAGCAATCGCTTTACTATTAGATTTGAGGTGACTCTTTGTTAGTTTAACYACATATTTAGTTGCTTTTAGATTTGTTTGCTACAGTTGTTAACATTTTGCTAGTTTCAGCTTCTTCGGCACATTATTCCCAGCAGTTCTATGTAAAAAGTCTTTAAATTAGTTGGAAATAAGCGATTTAGAAGCTTTAATGTTTGCTTTTTTACCCAGGAAAGCGCTGACGAGGTACCAGATGCTTTTCAGACACATGTTTTACTGTAAACACGTGGAGCGGCTGCTTTGCAATGTGTGGATCAGCAACAAAGATTCCAAGCAGTACTCCTTGTCTTCGGCTAAATGGTGAGCCAACAGATCTGTTGATTTGTGTTCAACTTCACGCAGAAAAAAAACCCTATAAACTTGTCTGTGTTTAGGTTTGCAGCTGCGTTCGCCCTGCGCCAGCGGATGCTGAACTTTGTGCAGAACATCCAGTACTACATGATGTTCGAGGTGATGGAGCCCACCTGGCACGTCATGGAGAACAACCTGAAGACGGTGAGGGCTTCAGCACCTGGTGCTTTTTAAAGTTTGACAGCTTCTTTTTAAAGGGATCCACGATTAGTTGTAACATTAGACTTAATTTGATAAATATATATTTTTAACTGTAAAATAAAGACTGTAAAAATACTGTAGTATGTTTAGTTTTGTAAATTTTTAAAAGTATATTTTTACACGGACGAAGCCATTGTATTTACACACAAAGCATTCTGGGTAAATGATGACGTGGATAGGTCCTCGGTGCGAGGCTGCTAGTGAGCTATATCCACCCTGAAGGTTAATCTTGGACAATATCTGATGATCGACTCTTTTAAATGAAACCAGAGAGCGTTGACAGAGAGGAGAAGGTAGAAATGACTCAGCCTGBAACTGAAAATATRGATGGAGGWCAACAGAGCTGCTTCATGGAAGAAGAACCTCAGMTTAGCCTGTTAGCYTTWGCSYTAGCGCCGAYGCTATATYGCCTTATATGTATTAGCTCAGTGCTAGCCCAACAAACAAGCTAAACTGAGGTCCTCCATATTTTCAGTTGCAGGCTGAGTCAATTTTGTGTTCCCCTCTCTGTCATGTGGATGGAGGAGAGGAGAATGTGTAGCGCTGAGCTAATAATTATATATGGTGATAGCGTCGGGGCTAATGCTAAAGCTAACAGGCTAAGCTGAGGTTCTTCTTCCATGAAGCAGCTCTGTTGTCCTCCATCCATATTTTCAGTTCCAGACTGAGTCATTTCTACCTTCTCCTCTCTGTCAACGCTCTCTGGTTTCATTTAAAAGAGCCGATCATCAGATATTGTCCAAGATTAACCTTCAGGGTGGATATAGCTCGCTCACGCTAAGGACCTATCCACATAGTCATTTACCCAGAATGCTTTGTGTGTAAATAAAATGGCTCTGTCCGTGTTAAAATATATTTTTAAAAATATGCCAAACTAAACATCCTACAGTATTTTTACACTCTTTATTTTACAGTTAAAATAAATGTTTATCAAATAAAAGTCTAAAGTTACAACTAATCGTGGATCCCTTTGAAAYACTGAAAGTTGGCTCTCGGTCACCAGGCTTCAAACATCGACGACGTTCTCTGTCATCACACCAGCTTCCTGGACAACTGTCTGAAGGACTGCATGCTGACCAACCCTGAGCTCCTCAGGATCTTCTCCAAACTCATGTCCGTCTGCGTCATGTTCACTAACTGCATGCAGGTTTGTTGCTGACGAGTCCGCTGGGTTATCTGTAATAGGCCTAACGAGCTGAATCAAAGACARTTGGATCAATTTTCTTATTTTTCGAAATAATACACATCTTTATTCACTTTGTTTTCTTTTTGTTCTTGATTGGTGCAGCGGTTCACTCAGAGCCTGAGGCTGGAGCGTCTCTCTCAGGAGCAGGAGACGGTGGGCGCACCTTCAGCTCCAAGCGAACAGCCCGAACAATTGGAGAAGAAGAAGCCGACCACAAAGGTAACAGGAAAAACAAATTTCTTTCTTGCTGCTATTTTGTGACCCGTTAACCGACGCGTTCGTGTCGCTGTCCACTGCTTCAGTTTTTAGCCGAACACACGGAGGGTCTTCAGTCCGACGCCGGCTTCGAAGCCACCATCGGTAAGTTCGACAGCAACTTCAGCCTGCTGCTTCTGGACCTGCTGGACAAGCTGAGCATCTACAGCACCAACGACTGCGAGCACAGCATGATCAGCATCATCTACAGGTGACCACCTTTTTACCTGCAGCAGTTCACTATGTACCTCCTTTTGCTTTGGTTTCAAACAAAAATGATATTTGAGTAAATGACTCCACAGGCTGGACTTTAACGGCTTCTACACAGAGCGGCTGGAGAGGATGGCTGTAGAGCGCAATCAGAAAGCTGCAGCGTAAAAAGTCAACGAATAAACTGTTCATCGATCAAACGTCTCCTTGTCGCTCAGAAACAAGTCGACCTCCATCACTCAGAGCAGCTTCTKTGTATATTCTGTTTTATGATGTGAAATGTAGTCTTAATGTGTGCAGAATCATTTCACCACTTCAGCTCTGAAACGATAACTTAAGCATGTACAGTCAAAATGTGTTTTTTTTATTAAAGATCTTCCTGAACAGATTTAGACTCCTATTTTATGGTTTTATGCTACAAGAGACACCAAACTAAACATTTTCAGATGTTTTTTTAAAATAATTATTAAGTCTTCTATAAGTGTAAGACATTATTATTTTAAAAATCTTCGGGTGTATGTTGGTTTGAAAACTAATTGCTTGGGTCTTAATAGTTGAATTAAAATATTTAAACTTTATCCAGTGAAATTGTTTCAGAACTATTTGTTGTATTATTCAAGACAGCTACGAGAAGTTGATACATTAAAAAAATAAATTAAAAATCTTTTACAGTAATAATTGTTTAATACTTTTCTAATAAATGAATGTGTTGTTTTAAGTAATATTCTGGACTTTTCTGTATCTATAAGTAATGCAGGACTAAATACGGTGAATAAAATAAAATACAAATGCAGGATTCTATATGAACCCAGACTAAAGGGCACGTAAAATAAGTTGGGTTTTATTTTGTAAAGTCCATTACAGGAAGTGTTTCCAAGTGGTCATTTCTGACGGACACGTTTTCTATTTTCCTTATTTATATGCACATTTACTGTAATACTGGAGCAATAACAGATGTAGAMGTTTGTAAGATACAGTATTACATTAGCCCAGAATGAGGCAAATTTTCTGAAGTCACTAACCTTTAGCGAGAACACAAAAGTCGCTTGGTTTTTATTTTGAAATATCTGATGCCGGAAGTATGCCAACCATTAATTTACACAGCTTTTTTGAACCTTTACCATTTCGAGAAAACTAAATTTAATGTAAAACCGTTTTAATACTACACATAAAGTAAGGAAACACTGAGTATCGACGTATTTGTGAGAAAGTTGCCTGAGCTGGTTTTTATTTTGAAATGTGTATTTCCGGAAGTTGTGCAAATCGCTCGTTTTGACGATTTTTATTTTTTTTCTCTCGTTTTGACGTTTATCTTATATGTTTCATTATCTTCCGGTAAATGTGTGAGTCGACGATGAAGTCAGCTCCCCCAGGAGGGGCCTCGGTGATGATTAACGGAGTTAGTTACGGGTTGGTAACCGGACAGAGGAGCGGCGGGTGGAGAACATGTCGCTGTGGCTGATTTGGGGTAAGAATTTATCATGTTTTAACACAAAAAAAGACTTTTATTTTGTTAGAACGAGACTAAGCTGCGCCCAGGTCCGCAGAAAAGTTCCAGAGAGCATTAATGTTTAATTAACGACAATAACTTCCATTTCCTGGACATAAATATTTAAAACTGTGTGAAAAGTCTAGTTGCTATTTAAAAAAGTTATTTGCTGCTTTTCTCTTTAAATTACATTAATAACGTATTTGTGTCGTTTGGGGCAAAAAAAAAGTTAGGAAAATCCATAAGTTTTAAGTTACAAAAACAGACTAAAAGTAAAAATTATAATAATAAATAAATGCTTCTTTATTCTATGAGACTTTATAAATATTTTATAATATTTTGCTTTTTACAGGAAAGTTTTTTGTTTTATTGTTCTTTGTTAGAACTTCAAACACACTCCATTATCACAAATAATTTATTAAACAATCAGATTTATATATTTCTTGTTGGTAAGTTTAATTAAATTAGTTTTGTTCACGTTTCTTCAGTAAAATATGTATTATATTCTAATTATAACAGTTTTCAAGCTGTAAAATCAACATATTTGCAGCAGTAATGAGCTGTTAACTGAATATTTTTGTAGGAACAGTACACACCTGGTTAGAACATAAAGAAGAGAAAAATTACAGACAATGGACTCAAAAAGCAGCTGAAAACCTGTTAAACAAAAAAACAATTTAAAGAATGACAGAAAAGTCTGTTTGGAGGTAAAATATAAAGAAATTTGTTTTAAACCTTTGTGTCGTTCTCTCTTCATGTTAAAGTTTGTTTGGGGCAGAGTTCTGGTCTTCTGTCTCACGTTCAGAACTACGAGGTGGTCCGACCTCAGAGACATCAGGAGAGACGGACCCGGAGCCTGCAGGTCAACCAGGTGAGGATGCCTCACCTGTGAGGGGGCGGAGCCAGAACCTCGGAAACTGAGCTCCCCTTCAGAGTTTTAAATCTAACTTCATGTTAAAACTGAGCTGAAATCATCTGAAAGAGAATAAAGATCATAAAAAAAAATCCTTTTTTGCTCTGTTTCCTTAATCCTCATCCACAGAATCAACATGTTTACAGCTGTTTTTATACATAAATCTTTCTTTTATTTATCTTCAGATTTATCCTGATAAAGTTCATTACAGCCTGACCATCGAAGGGAGAACCCACATCGTTCATCTGGAAAAAAACAGGTAAATTTTACATTTCTACCTAAAAAAAAAAAAAAAATAAAAGCATTAAAATAAAAACTTTTTTAAAATCTGTTTTGTAAAGGAATCTTATTGGGGAAAACTACACTGAAACATTTTATTCAGACGATGGAAGAAGAGTGACAACGTCACCGACTGAGGTGAGATTTTACTTATTTTACCTAATTTTTTAATATTTTAGAACATTATACACTAGATGAGTGACGTCAAACTCATTTTCACTGAGGGCCACATGAGCATTATGGTCGTCATGAACTTGAAGTAAACAGGAAACGTCACATTGCTGAGCACCAACAAACAATAACTGAGCTCTACGTGGTATTTCCTGCATAGAAACAGCGTTTTAACACGTCCTCATAAACACTGAAAAGTACTACGTGTATGACAGACTACATGTGAAATAAAAAATACAGAAATACTATTAAAGTAAAAGGAAGAGAGTTTTACTCACTATTAAGTTGTGAGTATCTGACTTGAATTCTGGACTCTCCCACTTTCTGACAGGAAATTACTGTTGGAAGGGCGTTCCATTTTAAATTTACGACTTGTAAGTGGGAATTTCCCACTTCCCTGTAGTAGCTGATGAAAATGCAGTGAAATGAAAATTTTAAATGTTAAATTTCATTGGCTGTCGGTTACTTTTGAACCCTGAGCACCCCCACCTGGTGGTGGGAGGCTGTCATTTAGCAGGTAAAATAATCTAAATGCATTATGGGAGATGTAGTTTATGGTCAGTGCTGGCTTTAAAGCAGCTTATTTAAGACATTARTACATCTTTAAAGCTCTCGAGCCTTATTTGGCCTGCAGGCCTTGAKTTTGACATGTGTGCATTAAAGCATAAACATATTAATAAAGTGACAAACAAACAAAAACAGCCTAGTTTTAATTCTAAACGTTTGTTTAATTGGATAAATTGAATTCAGTAAAGTTAAGACGTTCAGCTCTTCTGCGACCCGTCGTGATAAAATCTCTGTGTTCCAGACGTGAAMTTGATGGCGGTTAAAAACAAAGAGTCTCTTTGTGAGGAAAGTCTGAACTGTTTCAGGAGAACTGTTTCTACCACGGACACGTGGATGGCGAGGCGGACTCTTCGGTCAGCGTGGGGATCTGTTCAGGCATCAGGTACTTCTCAGCCTCACGCTTCCTGTCGCAGCTGCAGGTCCAGATCCAGGATCTGAAGCTCTTTACGTGCTTCAGGTGAAAGTTTTTCCTCTTCCTTCCTTCCTGCCGGAGTGCAGCGGCTTCCTGAGAGTCCGACAGCAGCTGTACCTGATCCAGCCTCTGGGACAGACGGACCAGGAGGACCATGCTCTTTATAAACGAGAACACCTGAAGACCARTGGCGGGTCCGGCTGTGGCTCCGCCTCCTCCGACACCACCTGTGACCAGACCCAGGACCAGATCTCACAGCCAGCTGGTTTCAAGTCTACATCATGGGTACGCTGTAGCAACAAGGTTTCCGTTAATGTTGAGTCAGCGTTTGCAACACCGATTTCCTGTTTTTGTTATTTTTCTGTTCACAACAGTTTAACCACTTCTGCTTGTTTTAGCTGTTTATATATTAAACTGTTTGGCTCATTCAGGCGGTGGATGACGCAACTTTTGTTTTTCAAAATATTTAACTTTATTTACAAACATTTCCTGTTGTCTCTTCATGACCTTTTACCAGTTAACTGTGGAGTCTGAGACGTTCTCTGATTGTACGGTCTGACCTTGGGGTGAGCAGTCTGTCTGTAATCCTTACTGATTATTTTTCTGTGTCTTCAGAACGCAGAGCAGCTCTCCGGTCCTCAGAGGTTTGTGGAGCTGTTTGTGGTGGTGGACAACACCGAGGTGAATATTATTCCATATTATTCACATCGCAGCTTCAAACGTTTAAAAACCACAGAGTTAAATCACACTAGACTGAGCCGCGCCTGTCCTGTGCTCCGTTAGCATCTGTGACAACATGGAGGAGCAACTGCTTGATTCACAATAAGCCCAACTGGATCTGTCACAATTTATTTGTAATATTTTTACAAAAAAAACTATTATAATTGTTAATTATATTAATTTAATTCAACAATCAAAAAACAGCACGTGATTAGATGAGAATATATAATTTATAAGTAACAGTGATCTAAACCAGACCTGATGGGAGTCAATAACTTTTTAGCTAGTTGAATAATAATGATTTTAACTAATAATTAAATATATTTATTATTTCTTACTGTCATAACAATAATTAATATTTACCAGTCAACACTTCATACCTGGCTATAGGATGAAACATTTCTCTACTGTTATTAGCCAGGTCAGATTTGTCCAACAGAAATCCTAAAAATAGTTAAATATATAATATTATTTTAAAAATACATATATACTTTACTATTTTATTATTTTACATAAATCAGTGGTAAAACCAGCTTAAAATATTTAATAATTTGTGTTAAATTGTAGCATGATTGAGCAGTGCTACATTCTGAATAACAATATGCTACAGAAGCCACACCTTGGGCCAATCACTGCTAGCATCTCTCTTGTCGAACTCCCCCCTCTCCCCATCCACCTATCTGCACCCCCMCCACTGATATCTCTGATATCATTAGTAAGTCTAAGCCCTCTTCCTGCCAGCTCAATCCATTCTCAACTGCTCTTGTTAAATCCTGCCTCCCGTCTCTGCTCCCTATCATCACCACAATTATCCACTCCTCCTTGACCTCTGGTATTGTTCCCACAGCTTTTAAATCTGCAGCCATTACCCCCATCATCAAGAAACCCGGTCTTGACCCAAGTAACTTCAGTAATCTTCGTCCAATCTCTAACCTGCYCKTCATCTCCAAGATACTGGAAAAAGTTGTTGCCAGTCAACTCCACTCTCACCTTTCCAACAATAACCTTTATGAGGAGTYTCAATCTGGTTTTCGCCCCCACCACAGCACCGAAACCGCCCTCATAAAAATCACCAATGATCTTCTCCTTGCTGCCGACTCTAATCTCCTGTCCATCCWCATCCTCTTTGACCTAAGTGCTGCTTTTGATACAATCTCATTCTATTCTCCTCAACAGACTCACATCCATKGGCATCTCAGRTACTGCATTTGGCTGGTTCAAATCTTATCTTTCTGACCGCACTCAGCTCATCCAGATTAAATCCTTCCGCTCTGAGTCATCCCCCGTCTCCACCGGCGTGCCCCAAGGCTCTGTCCTTGGACCCCTTCTCTTCATTACTTACCTCCTTCCTCTTGGTCACATTTTCCGCAAGTTTGGTGTCCGTTTCCATTGTTATGCCGATGACACACAGCTCTACCTGTCAACCAAGYCAAACTCCACACACCCTCCCTCCATCCTCTCTGACTGTCTCAATKAACTCAATCACTGGTTTTCAGACAATTTCCTTCAGCTGAATAGTGATAAAACAGAAATCATCCTTGTCGGCACTAAAAATTCAAACTCAAAATCGAATAATCTCCTTATCCCTATCAACAACTCTCTGCTAACCCCCTCCCCTCAGGTCAAGAGTCTTGGTGTCATCATCCTCGACACCACTCTCTCCTTCACTGCTCACATCAGTAATGTTACTCRGTCTGCCTACTTCCACCTCAGAAATATCAACCGTCTCCGTCCTTCTCTCACACCCCGCACCACAGCCATCCTTGTCCACAGTCTTGTGACCTCACGGATCGACTACTGCAACGCTCTTCTCTTTGGCCTCCCCAACAAATCCCTCCATAAGCTTCAGATGGTCCAGAACTCGGYTGCACGTGTCATCACCCAAACCTCCTSCCATAACCACATCACTCCAGTCCTGCAGCAGCTCTACTGGCTCTCTGTCAAATCACGCATTGCCTTAAAATTCTTCTTCTCACGTTCAAAGCTATCCACCATCTTGCCCCTTCTTACATGTCCGACCTCGTACACATCTCCATCCCCTCCCGCTCTCTCAGATCCTCTTCTTCCCTAAACCTCCAAGTACCCACTGCCCGCCTCTCCACCATAGGGAGCAGGGCCTTCACCTGTTCTGCTCCTCTCATCTGGAACTCTCTACCACCTGACCTAAGAAACACCACCTCTCTTCCTGTGTTCAAGACTGCTTTGAAAACACATCTCTTTAGAKBAGCATATCCATCTTAACTTCATTTGTAATCCATGCTCTGTAACTCATGCCTGCTTGTCTTTGTATTTTCTCACATTCTCCTACGATGTGCCTAAAGCTGTAAGTGTCCTTGGGTGTCCTGAAAGTCGCTTTTCAAATAAAATTATTATTATAATAGAAGCTAATATCTGCTAACCAGTTATAAATAAATCATCTTTAAAAGCTTATTTTATCTTTAAACTGTTAAATTTTTAGCTTCAGTTCTGGTCAGATCACACCCACATCGAGGTAAATAAGATAATATATATAATTTTACCAGTTTTGCCCTCATTGTTGGCTCGTTTGCCAACATGTACAGYAATGGTGTCTGTTCACCTGGTCTACACTCACTGTAGTTGTTATATAAAACTCCATTTCTAAAACAATAAAAATCTGATGTTTCTTCTTCTCCTGCAGTACAAAAAGTACGGAACACAGACGAACTCTCGTATTCGTGGAGCCGTGAATCACATCGACAATGTAACGTTGTTGTTTTCAGCCTTCRGTGGTAAATGTAACCTTAAATCCCCTCCTGACCTCCTGACCTTCACCTGCAGCTCTACCGGACTCTGAACGTCCGCATCTTGCTGGTGGGTTTGGAGGTCTGGTCCTACAGAGATTACATCAGCGTGGACGCGACGGCCGAAACCACCCTGGACAACTTCCTGGCGTGGCGTAAAGCGGACCTCCTCCTCAGGACGAAGCACGACAACGCTCAGTTTGTGACGTGAGGACGGGCTGATCGGTGCTGGAATCTGTGAGGCTGAAAGGTTTTGAGCTCAYGTTGAACTCTCGTCCTCCCACAGAGGCACGACCTTTGAGAAGGAGACCGTGGGACTGGCCAACAAGTACGCCATGTGCACCGAGAACTCAGGCGGAGTCAACCAGGTGGGCGTCGCCCTCTTTGAACCGGCTGATTTTGTTATTTTGTTATTTGTTATTTCTGGAGTTTAAAGCGTCAGAACGTCACGTCTTCTCCAGGACCACCAGGACGACCCGCTGGGCCTCGCCTCCACCATGGCTCACGAGATGGGGCACAACTTTGGGCTTTCCCATGACGACGCAGGCTGCGTGTGCGGCCCAACGCACAGCAGCATCTGTGTGATGGCAGAAAAACTGCGGTAAGGCGCTGAAGTTTAGCTGTTTATTCAACCAGYTAAAACTGCAGATTCAAACCTTCTGTCTCTCCTCACGGCTCAGACTCGGAGGTCAGGTGTTCCCAGAGTTTTTCAGCGGCTGCAGCGTGCGGCAGCTGTCTGAATTCATGGAGCGAGCCCTGCCCGACTGCCTGCACCGACCTGCCTCCGTCAGAACCTTGGCCGCGGATCCCCGCTGCGGGAACGCCCTGCTGGACCCCGGAGAGGAGTGTGACTGCGGCTCAGACGAGGTAAGAACCCACGGCTGAGCCTTTAAAGAAGAAGCTGTGGATCCTGAAGGAGTTCAAATAGTTCTCCTATGAGCTCACGTCTCCTCAGCCAGGAGGAATTCCAGGCYGAAGGCAGAATGAAACTTGTGTTTATTTGTTTTTTCAGGAATGTAACAATCCGTGTTGTGATGCAGCAACGTGTCGCCTCACTGAAGGATCTGAGTGTTCTGAGGGTCAGTGCTGCCAGAGCTGCCAGGTACTCAACACTTCATTTTAAATAGAGTCTTGTATTAATCAACTCCAGTGGGATCGGACTCTGCGGACCACCGGAATTTTAATAACAGGAAACAGAAAATACCATCCTGTTGCTGCTGGGTTGCCACTTCCTTCCTGTAGCTGCAGCTCAACCAACAGGAAGTGTTTAACAGGAGCGCACACGCTAATTCTTTTATAAACATCWACATTATAAACCTGAACCTAAACCTGAGTCTGGTCTGGTCTGGTCTTAACCCAACAGATCAAAGCATCGGGCAGCTTGTGCAGGAAGTCCTCCGGCGCCTGCGACCTGCCTGAGTACTGCAGTGGAGAATCACCGGAGTGTCCGGAAGACAGCTTCCAGATGAACGGAGAGCCCTGCTTCAACCAGGGGCCAGGCTTCTGCCACGAGGGCCGCTGCCCGACCCTCCAGCACCACTGCTGGAGACTGTTTGGAGACGGTACGTCCAACACCTCTGTCCATCTGTCCATTCATCAATCTGTCCATCTGCCCATTCATCAATCTGTCCATCTGCCCATCCATCTGTCCATCCATCCATCCATCCATCCATCCATCCGTCTGTCCATCCATCATCCATCTGTCCATTCATCAATCTGTCCATCTGCCCATCCATCTGTCCATCCATCCATCCATCCATCCATCCATCCATCCATCCATCAACCATCCATCCATCCATCCATCTATCCATCATCCATCCATCCATCCATCCATCCATCCATCCATCGTCCATCCGTCTGTCCATCTGTCCATCTGTCCATTCATCCATCCATCCATCCATCCACAAAAGACCTCAGACCTGGAGGTTTTGGAACTTTTCTCTGAGAGACGTCACCACTGACCACTGCTCCACCACTCTTTTAATAACATTTAGAGTCCCCTCTCTTCAAGAT